TTCCAGGCCATATTCATTTTAAGCAGGAGGGAAAAAATACATTTTTTATTTAAAAAAAAAAAAGAGCAGACCCATGCATACGGGGCAGGGTACTTCATCTCCGCTGTTCACTGCTGTTCCCAGGCTCCAGGAGCGTTCATTACTCACCTCCAAACAAACACCTTCGCTAAAATTAAGATGAAGCATGGCAACCATAAAGTTTAGCGGAGCCCCGGGGTTTTTTTTTTTTTTTGCTTTTCATCATTTACTTCTGCCCCTCTGACACATTTGGTTATTTAAAACACTGCTCGTGCCATTTCCTCATCCCCGACCGCGGTGGGAAGCGCGCTGCTACCCAACTGTGATTTTTCTTCATTACTTCCCACAGACACTTGAGTTTTTGCTATGACCGAGTAGTTTTGATGTGTTACTGAGCAGAAGACCCAGACGGAAGCAGAGGATGAGAAAGCAAAGCTCTGCAGCCATGCCCTGGGACCCCCACCCGTGCTGGGCAGGTGGGCTCCTTACCCTTCTTGGAAGAGCACGAGAAAATCCCAACGAGCAGCTCATGCTTGCACATCAGCAGGGGCTTGCATAGAGGGTTGCAACCTTTAGAGAAGCCTTGGAGACGCTCAACCCCAGGTGAAGTCAAAAGGAAAACCCCCGGGAAGGTTTTCTGTCCCGTTGACAAAAATTTAAGAGGAACGACCTTCTCGCACACCAAGCAAGGGGCAGATCAGCACGCGTGGAGGTACCTAAAGAGTTACCTACGCCTGCAACAACCACAGCAAACACGCCTGCCCCGGTGCACACATTCCTCCGGCCAGCCAGACGTGCCCGAATAAAGAGTGAATGACAAGCGACACCAGGAGGGCGTGAAGAAGAGCAAATAATTGAGATGAAATGTCAAGTTAATAAGCCGAACGTGAGGAAGACGGGATGGAAAAAGTAATTTAATCATCAGGGTTTGACAGCACAACAACTCAGCTGAGTCTTCGCCGCGAAAGCGGCGCGTAAGTGGTGCTTTAGGACGTTCTTTGCAAGCATTTTCTACTGCGGCTCATTGCAGAGATGGTAAAGGGGCTCCAATCAACAAGCCCAGGAGCAGCTTCTGGCTCAGCCTTTCCTCCTCCTTCCTTTTCCACATGGGATTTGGCTAGGCCCACACTTTTTGCAGGTGCAAATGTGCACTGCGTCTTTGAAAACCCTGAAGCTCAATCTTCTCATGCCAGCTAAGAACCTGACCTTTTATTTCCATGATTCTTAAGGTTTAAACACCTAAAAAACATTCTGCTTTCAAAAAGACTCAGTCTTTAATCTTAGATTTAACGTACAAATTCCTGACAGTTTAGATCCAAAATTACTGGATAAAAGACAAGAGTATATACAGGTATTTTTTTCTGCCTTTTAAGCATTAATCTATTTTCCTTATATTCACTATTAGAGGGCTTGGAGATGCCAGAGGGGTTTAAATCATTGTGCTAAATGTCTCGCCAGAGAAAAGAAGGTACCACCAGGGATGACCAGCACTTCACTCCCTGGGCACCAAGATTTAAAACCCTTCCAAAATTTATGTTTTTCAGTCTTACAAATAAGCCTGAACCTAACCCTTTTCTGCCCCACACCTACACTCAGCGCAACAGATGCCCACTTACAGCAGCTCCTTATAAGATCAGCAACGGCTTACGAACATCAATTCTAGACTATTTCCCCAGAAATACAGTGCAATATCTGCCTGATAAGCGGCTGTTGTTGACAGGAGAAAAACCGGCGCCAGGACACTGATATATCACTACTAATAAGCTGCTGCTGCAAGTGAAGAAGGCTGTTTGTATTCACACTCGGGATGGTTTGGGCTGCACGCTGGCAGATATCGAGTACATCCTCATACCACAACATGCCCATCTTGGTTCTTTGGCACTTATTTACCATTGAGGTTCACTTCATAATGTTATTTTTTTTTTCTCCCTGGTTCATTTTTCAGCTTTCCCGCAATGCTGGGAGGAAGAGCCCCCGCTCGCCCCGGGGCGCCCGCCCGGCACACCGACAGGCAGAGCCGAGCCCGTGATGGACGTGTTTTCCATCAGCCTCACCCCCCTCCCAAAATCATTAACTGCACCACCCACGGCAGCGGTGTCGGGACATGTGCCTTGGCACGGAGATTGAGCTGGATGCCTTCGAGATGTCATCCATAGACATCGCTGCTCCTAGAAAACCCCGCAGTTCAGAGGAGCCGCCGTGCTTAGCTGGGACGGCTCAGACCTCGTGCTAATTACCCTGATGATTTTTGCGAGCGCGTGGTGGAACCGGTGGCACTCCCAAAGGCTCTCCCCGTGCCAGCGCCCCGAGAAATCCCAGGGTTACGTCCTGATCCCGCTCCCCGGCGTGACTCCAAACCAGCTCGGTCCCTGCCTGTGTTTCAGAAACGCTGTACCTGCCTGAACGCTGCGGTCCCTCCAGCTCAGGAACAATTTATCTAAAATGCAAGATGAGATTTGGAGAGGAAGGCAAAGGAGGAGGAATGCAACCATGACCTGATTTGTCTGCAAAGAAGGGGGAAAACAAGCACCTTAAAGTCACCGATAGCTCATTTAC